GCAAATGTTTGCCGATTTAAACGACTCGATGAGAGGTATTGGCAAACAATCGGTGAAAGCATTGCTTATAAGACATTACAAGACATGCGATTCACTCGCAAACGCCAATCAATACTTTAAATACCAATTCGTGGCACTGGTAGCCGGTTGGGCCCCTATAGGCTGTTACCTGTTATACTTGTATACCTTTTTAAAAACAATTCATTTATCCTAAATGCCTCGTATTTAATGGGAATTGTTTTCATTCCGTTGCTATTATTTATGGCAATAATTATCGCATTCATTGATATCGAGGCTAAAAAAGATTTACATTTTATTCACGGATTTGCATTCAAAACACCGAATAAGAGACAAACATTTCTGGTATATATACAATAATTATATAAATATATAAATTATTTATCTTATTATTACTTTTCAAATGTTATATAATATCTGTGTATTATATTTAGATAAAACTATACTTTAATCGCGTATTGAAGTCAACGATTGGTTTAGAGATATTAGAGAAACCCATAAATATTGAGAATATTCTTAACGTAAGTCATGAAAAAAATTTTAATTTTTATAAATCTCTAAATTATGTGAATTTATTTCACAGATTATAACACTTACGATAACTTACTTCTCAATACTCGTTAAATACAAGAAAATTGTGAATAATCAGGGCTAATTAACAACTGGAAATTATCATGCGACACAAATACAATTTTATGTTCAAGTATAGTTTATAACACTTATTAATGTTAATAATACAGTATTAAATTAGATTAAATTAAATAGCTTTTATAAAAGTATATTAACTATAATTTTTCATAAAATTGTCAATAAACTATATTCAAAATAAGCATCATATTAAAATTAATAGTTTTTAAATTAATTTATATTTTATAGCATAGAATAAATATACCATTTTTATTATATGTTATAATTTATAACATTACATTGAATTACTTAAAATGGTAATTTATATTTTATTTAATAAGACAATAATCAAAACTCAATTACTTTTATACTGGTTTATAATTATGGTTTATTTACACTGGTTGCAACCGGTAATCCAATTATGCTAGATACTATATGAATAAACGTTAAATAAACGCAATGTTAATCGTACGCTACTTTTAATATAAAAAACTAAATCTAATTGAGTCACATATTTATAAAATCAACTGGTATAAATAATTTATAAACACAGAGTTCAAAGTTTATTATTCAAAATGCAGCAAGTGTGTTTTAAAATAATGAATTCACTTGAAATTATGTGAATTGCTTGAACATTTTGGCGACATCCAGCACAAGCTTTCGAATGCCTACAACCAAACCCCTGTTCATAAATGCAACGCCTACCATATTTTCACCAGGGAACAATTTGAGCATGGTACTTGTCCCTGTAATGCCACCGCTATGCCATATGACTTCCTTAAATGGACTTGGATCTCGTTGTATGAACCAGGCTTTGGCTAAGCAATTAAAATTTAAACTTGTCCACTCTATGTGTTCACAGTTAGCTAGGTATATAAAAATCTCATACCGTAGTCACTATCGCCGGCCATTTCAATGCCAATAGTTTCCGGTTTCCACAACTCTTTCACCGTTTTTTGTGATATAAAATCTATTGAACGACAAAAATATCATAAAAATAAATATATATTTACATAAATGCCCAGGGTATTCAAGTGTATTCACAATGCGGTAGTATTCCCTTATACGCGGCTATCATAACGTTCCCGAAGTTTACCATATCTGCAGCGGTGGATATGAGACCCCCTGATGGCCAGTTACCCTCGTACGACACCAACTCATCCAGCAGTTCACACTTTTGCAATGTCCCGGATGTTTCGTTAGACAACTGATAGTATTGTGGTCTGTGTTTGTAAATGGCTTCCCGTCTCTCAGCAAATGTTGAATACATGTGTAGTTTGGAAAACATTTTCCGCATTTCATTCTCATATGTGTTGTGAAGTATGGACTCAATGATGGCGCCGACCATTTGGTAGCCATAGTTGGAGTAATTAAAAGCAGTGCCCGGTTTGGACAGTAAGTCGACATCTTTGAATGGTTTGATGGTTTGGCTCACATTATCCGCACGTCTGATCAGGTATTTGTCAAAATCGTCGGGAAATACACTCACCCGGAGACCCGCCGTATGAGACATGACTTCCCGAACGGTTATATTAACCGCCGATCCGTTGAATGTCTTAAACGGATAGAAATCTTGTGACAGATATTTATGGATCTCTGCGTTCAGATCAATGAGATGGCGATCCATGAGCTGCCCGACCAGTGCTGAAGTCAATGATTTGCTAATTGATGCCAAACGCCAAACGGAGTCCTTATGTGTTGAGACATTATTCTCGATATCCGTATAACCGAAGCCTTCCGTCCATACAGTCGTGCCGTTTATACTGAACCCTACGACAGCTCCGGGAACTGAGTTTTGAACCATAAATGTCTTCACTAGTATCCGGGCGTCTCTTATCACGTCATCGATGGTGTCATACTTTGCGTGCGAATCAAAGTCTTCAGTGAATCCATTGTCTACTATTGGCTTTAATTTCAAATCACTTTCAACGCTTAAACCGTATGAATATTTAATCATAAATATTATTAAAACAAAGTTAGGCTTAAAAAACATTTTAAAAAATATCCTTTAATTAGAAAATGTTTAAAACTTAATTTTAAAAACCACTTTTAGTCTTATGCTTTTAAACACAATTGTCATTTAATATGATTCACCCTGTGCAATCTCGATTGCAATCAAGTATTAATCAGCAAATTGATTCAGGTAAAGGTTATGGCAAACTGTCTTAATAATGCCAAGTGACGTTAACTCACCAGGGAGTCAATACAACTAACACAAAAGCGCCTAAAACCCCCGATAAGGAAGCGTATCATATTTGGATATTTTATGGGGGTGGGGTGGATGGAACTTTTAATAACATATATTTTGATCTGGTTAAATCTGATAATTTTATGATCACATCGGAACTCCAAGTGTGTATGAACAACTCAATACAAAATTATTAATTCTAGGATTTAACAATTATATATCCAAAATAACACCTGGAAAACATTTAGGTGACAAATAACATGGTAAAGCATAGACAATATAGTAATATAGTGAAATGAAGTAAATTCGCAGCTTACGATTACATATGTTAACATATTTGTATGAATGAGTAAGGTGATAATTGAATGCTATTCACTACAGAACATTGCATTTGGGTTTATATTACTAGAGTATAATAACTATATAATATATTATAGTTATTTTATATTTTTTGTTTATTAAATTAAATTCCGAGTAAATTTCTAAACAATGAATCAATTGTAAATATTTAAACTCGTTCATTTATTAATAATAAAATATAATTTATATTACAGATACACTAAGGTTAATATTTATTTTATGTAACATAATTGGTAATAAAGTAGCATTGAATTTAAATGACCATAAAAATATGTAAATATTTATCTATATACATTATGTTGTATGTTATCTTAATAATGTAGTATAATACTAATTATGACTTAAATACTAGATCTAAATGTTTATGCAATAATTTTGTAACTCATAAAATGTCAATTTCTTAATATTTATTCTCAAAATATTTTATTCTAGCACAAATAATTTATTGGTAATTAATAGAAATCTCAAAAATATCAGGAACATCTGGAAAAAATAAAATATGTTTAGTAAATAAATTTAAAAACTTAATTTAAACTCACTTTTAGGGCTACAGTTCTGGTGATAACGTATTGATTACTACACGAAAAGCCTATCAATCGGTTTCTGTCGCTCACTCTCTCCAGACATACCATTAGCTATAGATTGATAAAACATAATCTTAATTTCATAATAGATTTAAGACACCTACTCTTATATAATGACATTACCTTGAACTTATTTCCCACGTTAACCCGGTTATTTTCCGAAATATAACAATTATAGAAAATATCACAACCTTTCGAAATGTGAATATTAATATCGGATGCGATTATATTGAGTGCAAACAAAAATGACATAGATCCAAATAACAACAATAAATAAAGTAGTTTCACTCCCATAAGCGATGTGTCAAATAAAAGCATTTGTATACCAAATGCATTCAATGGTAATAATGTATAACAAACTGTGAAATAAATATTTTTCCAAAACTTATTATGCATTTCAATGTCGAGACACAGTTTGTTATGATTTATTAGGATTTTTATAAAATCACAGTTTGACTGTAATGTCGATAAAAATATATTAAAGTCTTTAACACGACATTTAAAATAAAAGCAAACCATTAGGTAATATAGTAATGTAAATACTATACTTGGTAAATATGATATTTCCAAGATAATAAATAATATGGTACCGATAACACCGTGTATAATTGTTACTGAATTCCCAGTGTGATATACACTAATTACAAATAAGCAAGCAAAAAATAAACCAAGTAGCATTAAATTCAATCCAATTTTTAAGAGACAATCCAATAATTTCATTTTAAACTTAAATTTATTAAATATATTTTTATCCGATATTCCGATTGATTGATGAGTTTGATAGCCATTAATAGCTGAGATTATTTCAAACCATTTATAATCATTTTTATTATTTGTATTTAATATAATAATTATGATTAAACCCATACACTGTATTGCAATGGCCAGGGCATAAACAAATTTTTTATCAGGTATGAAATATTGAATTAATTCAAAATAATAAGTTGGTAGGTGTTTATTAGTTTCACATTTGAATAAATAAAATACATAACGAATTATATTAATGAAAATAATAGCACAGGTAGCTATTACTTTTAGTTTTTGAATATATATCTGATTTTTGTTACCATTTTCAGTGAATCTACAAAATATCCAATACTTATACAATGGATACTGAAAATCATATTTATTAGGTATTTGATAGATATCACTATTAATGTTATTATCATTCATTTGAAAATCAATAATATAAAATAAAACACAAATAGCTTTTAGAAATATAAAATAATTATAATATGTAGCAACAATTTTTAATATCCGTATAACAAGTTCACTTATCTGATTATCTGTAATATATTTTCATAAGCTTAAATAATCTATGTTATAGTATAACAGTGAATACTCTCAACAAAAACTGACATTATGCAATATTTTTTACATATGAATATATTATCATGTTTAATAATAATAATGGCAACGGTATCTATGTAATTTAAGCTAATTATAAATGAATATTAATGTAAGTCTATTATGATAAGCATTGAATATGATTTTGAAAACATTTTATTGTTTGCAATGCAATCTCGTGTTTAATAGTAATTAGGATTTATTTTTATTTAGCTATAAAGGTAGAGTAATAATATTTATGCTGTATATTGGGCAGGTATATACTTACGTTAATTTATGTGTTTTTATTTAAGAGTAAACAATTTATTTGTACTTTTTCATTAAGCTTTGTACTAAACTACTGTATATAAAATTATTAGTAGTATTTTTTTTGTATTAATTTAGGGCAGATATAATTTACAAAATTAGTTTTATTACCAATTAAAATACAGTACTATGTAATGTAAAACTCATTAAGATTATCATTATCAATATATTTTTTGCATACAATAAAGATCATAAAAAAATCAATTTTAAATATTTATTCTCAAAAAATAACTTTTATTCTAGCACAAATAATTTATTGGTAATTAATAGAAATCTCAAGAATATTAGGAACATCTGAAAAAAATAAAATAAGATTAATAAATAAGTTTTAAAAATTTAATTTAAACTCACTTTTAGGGCAACACTTCTGGTGATAACGTATTGATTACTACACGAAAAGCCTATCAATCGGTTTCTATCGCTCACTCTCTCCAGACATACCATTAGCTATAGATATTTTAAAAATAATCTTAATTTCATAATATATTCAAAACATCTACTATGATATATAATGACATTACCTTGAACTTATTTCCCACGTTAACCCGGGAACTTTTCGAAATATAAAAATTGTAGAAAATATCACAACCTTTCGAAATGTGAATATTAATATCGGATGCGATTATATTGAGTGCAGACAAAAATGACATAGATCCAAATACGACCAATAGATACAACAGTTTTACTCCCATATGCGACGTGTCAAACAATAGCATTTGTATAAGCAATGCATTCATTGGTAACAATGTATAACAAACTGTGAAATAAATATTACGCCAAAACTTATTATGCATTTCAATATCCAGACACAGTTTGTTGTGTTTTATAAGCAAATCGCGTAAAAACGATTGATTTATATAATCACGGCTTGACTGTAATGTTAACAAAAACATATTAAAATCTCTAATCCTACATTTAATATAAAAGCAAACCATTAGGTAGTAAAGTAATGTAAACACTACACTGGGTAAATATGATATTTCCAATATCATTAATAAAATAACACTTAAAATACCATATATAAATGTTTGTAAATTTATAGTATAATACACACAAATTACACATAATGATGTAACAAATACACCTAGTAACAGTAAGTTCAACCCCACTTTTAAAATATAATATACTAATTTTATTTTATACTTAAATTTATTAAATAGTTTTTTATCCGATATTCCGATTGATTGATACGTTTGGTAGCCATTGATAGCTGAGATTATATCAAACCATTTGTAATCACTTTTATTACTTGTATTTAATATAATAATTACGATTAAACCCATACATTGTATTGCAATGGCTAGTACATAGGCAAACTTTTTATCGGGTGCCATATATTGGAGTAGTTCAAGGTAATAAGTTGGTAAGTGTTTATTAGATTCACATTTGAATAAATAAAATACATAACGAATTATATTAATGATAATACTAGCACACGTAACTAATACTTTTAATTTTTGAATATATATCTCATTTTTGTTACCATTTTCAGTGAATCTATAAAATATCCAATACTTATACAATGGATACTGAAAATCATGTTTATTAGGTAGTCGTTTGGTACCAATATTATTGCTATTATCACTGATTTCAATATTCATAACTCAAAGCACTTTAAAAAATTAAGATTACATTTATGTCAGATCTAGTTTTCCATTGCAAATGTCATAATGAATAAAACAAATTACAAAAACGGTAATATATTTTTTAAAACTTATATTACAGTAGTTGATATTAAAATTAACAGTAAAACCTAGTAATAAAAATTGACATTTTATAATATTCATAAGTATTTGTTTAAGTTAATGAACTATACTGTAATTATCGTTGAATATTACTTTGAAAACTTTTTTTGTTTGCGATTCAATCTCGTGTCAAATAATAATTATTTATTTTTATATTAATATTTTAGTGTATTGTCAATAATTATTAAGCTAACATAGGTTAGACACAGTAAACTATCTGTGTCGGGTATATTAAACGTTTATTTCTAAAATAAAATACTTAGCGACAAATATTTATTAATAAAAAACACAAATACAATAAATACTTTGCAATACTAGGTCAATATTTTCCCAATGCTTATGCAATAATTATGTAACTCATAAAATGTCAATTTCTTAATAATTATTCTCAAACACATAATAATTTATTCTAGCACAAATAATTTATTGGTAATTAATAGAAATCTCAAAAATATAACGAACATCTGGGAAAAAAATAAAGTAAGATTAGTAAATAATTTTAAAAATTTAATTTTAAACTCACTTTTAGGGCTACAGTTCTGGTGATAACGTATTGATTACTACACGAAAAGCCTATCAATCGGTTTCTATCGCTAACTCTTTCCAGACATACCATTAGCTATAGATTAATATAAATATAATCTTAATTTCATAATACATTTAAAACACCTACTTTGGTATAATGACATTACCTTGAATTTATTTCCCACGTTAACCCGGGTA